GAGCCATGTTGAGTTGAAGTCGACTCACCGTAGCTGAGATCCTGACTTGCTAAGATAATACCAGTAGTACTGATTCAGGGAGCCAGATTGAGTGATATAAGAATCGTCCCCCATTAGCCGTAATTCCAAGGCTGAGATCAGCGGTGTAGTCGTCCCATTCTTAACAAGACAAATCTGCAACGAGTTTGATATTGGGATGTGTAAAATCTCTTCCCGTGTACCATTCACGTTTCTTTCCAAATCTATCTTGGCCCATTGATTGGGTCCAAGATAAAGATCAAACACGGGTTTAATGTCACGACCATCATAATTTCCATATACAAAGGAAGCTCTGATCAAATACTTACGCCCCTTGGCGACATTGAAATTGTAGCAGTTCCGTATTCCATATGGAAAATACCGCGCCTGGAGAAATGCCTGAATTCTACCAGTTTGTCCGCTCTGTATGAAACTTTCGTCGGAAGAGAACCGCAGTCCAGTACGAGTCTCATTATAAGGGGGCTGTTCCTTCGCGGGTAGCCCGCAATCCAAACTGATGAACCCTGTTGTTAACAGAACATGGAAACATTAACCACTAAAACATGTGCACTACTGAGAACCAAAACGTTTGTATAAGAATATGAAGGAAGCACATGGATGTATATAGAACAAATAAGAGATCTGATACTACCTTGTTGGCCTTGAGCTTGAGCAATATGAATTGTGGCCAAAGTTCCGATTAGCAGCAACAAAAGCCCAAGAGAAGTCTCCATATTCTCTTAACTCCCAAGGAACAAACAAGAAACCAGTGGCTATGAACTATGATGTTGAAGTAAAACAGCCTAAAATATAAAAGCAAACCCTAAAGCGTAGAATAAGAGAAAGACATTGACAAAAAGTCAATGGTGAAAATGAGTAAATGTGTGTTCTAGTGCCACCTTAAACAATAGAAAAGAATGGATCGATGCAATATTAAGGGGAAAACAATGTTCCAATATTAATTAGGACGATCAATCATAAAGACGAGCCTAAGTGCCCAACAAGAATGTTCGTTCCTTGGTTTCACAGCTCTAACTAATTTATGAGTCTCTTAACTTTAGCCTAATTACTTTGTTGGGGAGTAGAGATAAGTGAATAAGAAATCACAATCCACTATTTAGTTTTCAATAAAAAAAAAGTTGATTTAGGACAATGTCACATTTGATGCAAAAATTGTAGTATATATTGGTCAGAGTACAATATGCATTTTACTTCCAAAGAGCCAATTCAATCACACACAAGAATTCATCATGAACAAAGAAATGCTGAGTAATAGTCGTCATTGACATGGATTGGTGAAGAAACAATTCCAGACAGGATTCATCAGTTCAAAGATGAAATTTTTAATGAAATGAATCGCATAAACTTCGGAGAGTCAAAGAAAAACCTGTTTAGATAACCCACAGTCACATGCATCGAGTCAGTGAGAAATCTGATTTCTTTGATCGAATCTCCGGTGATAAACCGACCCTCTACTACAGCGGAACCTCCCGTCGAGAGAAAGAGAAGAGCGCTTCAACCCCATCAGGAGTTTCCGGCGGCAAGACATTTTCTCCGCGATCAAGGATCAAAAACTCATATAACTCTCAAAGGAAAACCGAATTAACAAATAACCCGAGAATAATAAGGATTTATTATCTTTTTTTTTTAATTCGAAATTGGCGGAAAAGACAAAAAAACCAGAGAAATTGTTTTTAATTACCGACCCAACCTATTATTGACCCGATCTATGCGGATTATCCAACCCATCCCGTGTAAATCGGATTTAAACCAATTCTCGCAACCACGACGAGAGGCAGAGGAAGAGGAAGCCGAGAAATTTTCGGATCAAAGACATTCTTTGATTGGATTTAAATCGGAGCCAGAGGCAGAGGAAGCAGAAAAATTTCCGAAGGCAGAGGCAAAAGGTGAGAAGAGGGAGGAGAGTGAAGTGGAGAAGGAGCTAGAGGCAGAAGAACAGAATGAAGTTGTTGGTGAGAAGAGGATTAAGAAGCCAGCAGCAGGATTAAGGACTCCCTATATGGCCCCGAACCCAGTAAGAAGAACTGAAAGAACTAATACTCATCCTCTTGTCTTGAACTATCTATTATATTTTGGTTTTTTATGCAAAACTGGATTTAGTGTTTCGTAGTACTAGTACTTTTAAGGTAAAACTGTGAACGTATCTTTGTTTCCAAAGTGGATTTAGTGTTTGTACTACTAGTACTTTTAGGTAAAACTGTGAACGTGTGTTTGTACTACTGGTACTTTTAGGTAAAACTGGTTTAGTTCAATAATTCAATAATTGGAGACCAGACTAATTTGTACAATTCAATAAAACAAGTGCTAATTTAACAAAACAATCCAACAAAAACAAGTGCTAGTTTAACAAAACAATCCAATAAAAACAAGTACAATACAAAAGTTTTGAAATCCGTCTCCCTTTCATCTCCTTCAGCTCCTCAAATAAGTTTCCAAATTCGTCAGCCTTGCATGAAGTTTCAAAGAGCTCTCCTTTAGCTCATTTAGACGAACACANNTGNTTTTCCACAGTAACATNTGGTCNGAANACCAATAGGTGAGGGCTCCCATGTCACCGGGTTCGGAGCAAATCGAGTCAGAGTTATATCTGCCATATAATCATATTTGGGTAGGATGAGTTCGTCATCCGAAGATGATGAGTTGCTGTTGTTAGACCCAGTATCGAACTCGCCGAATATGTCCTCGTGTTTCCAACGACCCATGTTTCTACAATCGAAGATATGAATCCCGAAAAGATCT